TTATCGATCCATTTTGAGGCGATTCGTTTCCTTGTCCGTCCGATCGAGGTCTATTCCCATCGGGTTCGTTCCTTTTCTTCCTAATTTCACTCGATCAACGCTCAAGGACACGGGGCTCGAACATTCCAACCTCACGCACCGAAACTTTGATCCTCTCCCGATTTTTTACTCAAAATGTAATTTTGTTTTTCTACGGAAAGGAATCAATTCATTCCAAGTGGACGGGGGTTTGACTGACCTGGTCCAATGAGTGACGTTAGACGGCCGAAGCACCAACCACTTTGTGGTGTTCTCAGTAGAATGTGATTGGTCGCATTCACTGGACGTCACTACGGTTTTACGTAAAGATGAAGAAGAAATGTCATGCACAAGGGCACACACTCCGTCTCCCTCCGATCCATGCACGCGCATGAAGTGCATCGGATACGGCGGTGAAATATTCCAGGGACTGTCCGGTGAACGCTGTTCGCAAAGTCAGTACTGAACGGGACTAACTGTTAGAGGACGACACACACACATACACACTGATTTCCTTAGAGTCGCGGTCAGGAGGCAATACAGCCCATTTTGTAATCCAGTGTTGCGGTAGTGCCTAAAAACACAGGCGCATGAATGCACTTTATAGGCTGACAAGCAAAATGGCCTTTAATATGATGTGATATTGTGCCGTTAGCCCTTCTTGAGTATGATAACCCAACACCCGAGACAGGTTACCAGATTGATCGTGTGACTAAATAATCGAATATGTTTATTTCAAAGGTGAATTCGTCGCCCCTATAGCAAAGGAAGCGTAAACTGAAAATCTAGGAAGCACTGGACAGCTGTTTCGACCTGGTTGGGTCTCATCAGCAGTGGGTGAATCCATCGACCCAATTGGGATTCGAACCCGGGACCTCACACGCAGAACGCAAGCACGCTACCCATTCGGCCACTGGGCAGCTGATCAGACCATTTTTCACTTTCCTTTTACACGATAAAGCACAACCCATCTTTGCGAGCTTGTTGCGGACCACAGACCTCGCTCATCTCAGCACTAGCCTCCAGGTTATCATTCGGTTGGAGACAGTCACAACCGAGCGTAGCATGCTTGTGTTCTGTC